TGGAATTGCTGAGGACGGTGGAGATGGAGTCGGTAGCTCCTTGGCTGCTCGGGTAGCTGCGTTAGGTCAGGTGGAGCGGGGCCTCTGAGGAGGACATAGCAGACTCAAGGCCTGGGAGGCGGGCAGGGAGAAGAGGAGCGTGCAAAGGCCCTGTGGAGGGAGGGAGAGGCCAGGCACTTTCTGGAACCCAGGGAAGGCTTTGGGACGGAGCGGGAGAGCTGGCTGCAAGGCCGAGGATGGGCAGCCCTGCCTCCTCCTAGTGAGGGAGGTTTCCTAGGATGTGCCTCTTTCTGGTACAAGACTTTTCCATGTCACTGTTGGAACCAGGGGAGGCCCAGAGCAGCAGGGCCTTGTCTCTAATAGCTCTGTAACTGCCACATTTGGTGGCCTTAGCTGCACATGGGTACACACCCACATACGCACATGTTAACACACATTAACATACACGCAGAGGCACCAAGCACAGAGAAAGGTGTGAAAAGGTACACGGGGGGGTTTTACTTTTCCTGGGTTTGCACAGTATTCTTTTGGTGAGACAGGGTCTCGCTATGTAGTTCAGGCTAGCTTCGACTCACTATGTGGCCCAGGCTGGCCTTGGACTCACAGTGACCCTCCTGCTTCAGCCTCCTGAATGCTGGGATTACAGGAGTGCGCCACCATGCCCGGCTTGCAGTGTTCTTTAAAATATGGATCTATTGTTAGCATTGATAAAAACCAGGAACGTCATAAAATTGAATTGGTCTTTTTTTTTGAATTGGTCTTTTTAAAATGATGGTGGCTGAAATTTAAGGGGCTCTTAAGTGTGTGCTAAGCACCTCACTCATGTAACAAGATTGCTGTTATTGTTCCCATTATATAGATGAGGAAACTGAGACTAATAGAGATCAAGGAGCTTGCGAGGAGGCACACAAGTCATGAGCGGCAGGCAGAAGCTGGATTCTAATCCAGAGATCCGGACTCCAAGTTGCTTTTGTCTTAGGTGGGAAGCTCCTCCCTTGAGGTCTGGAGCCAAAGGCTGCTGTGGTGCAGACCCAGCATTCCGGTTCCCCGCACAGCCCTCTCTGCCTGTGTGCTCCCTGCCTGGCTCCTGGAAGCTTCTGAGTTCCAATCTATATCAGCTGTTAAAGTGAGCTTTTAGGCAATTTCTAAAAAAAAGCGTTTTCAATAAAAAAGGCCTTTGAAATCTGATAGCTGTGCCTCAGGTCTCCTCTCTGCCGCTTCCTGTGTGACTACAGTGAGGTGGCCCAACCTGTCTGAGCCTCAGCTGTGCTCTGCAAATCGGGGCTCGGAGCAGGATCGTGGTGGGAGGGGAGAGCTGGCGCTGTTCCTTTCAGGGTTTCTCAAGGTGCCCCTTGGGTACACTAGGCCCTGGGAGCCCCCACAGGGAGCCCGTGAGTCTGATTGTCTGATTGGAGGAGGCTGGTGGTGTACTTAAGGGCAGAGTGTCCCTGCCCACACAGCAGGCGCCCCCAGGACTGTGCTCCGCCCAGGTAGGCAGATGCAGCCTCAGCTCTTCTTGTCTTCCGTCAGGCCTTCGTCAAGATGGTCGGACACCACGCTGCCTTCCTGGAAGCACGCGTGCTGCAGGCCGAGCGCGACCGCGGGGCCTTCCCTCAGGCCCTGCGCAGGTGGCTGGGCTCCGCACTGCTCTCATCCTTCAGGAACGTGAGTATGGGCCCTGAGAACGAGGGCGCCTCTCCTGCTTCTCCCCAGACCCTGGAGTGGGGAGAGGGCTCAGGAAATGAGTTCAAAGGGCACATTCCCTCTGCAGACAGGAAGTGGTCAGGAGCGCAGCTGCGCCCTCCCTGTGCCTGCCTCGCTTCAGGCATCATTGCTGTGACTGCTGTCTTACGCACTCACCTCTTATTGAGCACCTACTGTTTACCAGGTACCATGGTTCATCTGTGGTTCCCTTGGTGGGCAGAACGGGCCCTGCCCTCCTGCTTTGTCTTTACACATAAGGATGGTGATGATGAGGGCCACATTAAGATTCGGGCACAGCCTTATTCCTGGGGCACCAGTCAGGAATGTGCCTGCCCTGGTTCCCAGAGCCCACCCGAGGAGCCAGGGAAGGCACAAACCCCATCCCTCCCACATACCTGCTCTGTTCAGGGTCTCCATGCCATGGCTCCACAAGGAAAGAAAGAGCAGTATGTCCTTTCTTATGCCAAAGCTGAGGCCAGGTCGGGCATGGTGGCACACGCCTGTAATCCCAGCACTTGGGAGGCTGAGGCAGAAGGATTGCCATGACTTTGAGGCCAGCCTGGGCTACACAGCAAGACCTTGTCTCAAAAAACAAAACAACAAACTGAGGGCACATAAATCTTGCAGCTGAGCCCTTCCGTGTTCTTCCGTTCTATTTTTTGAGACAGGGTCTCACTATGTAGTTCAGACTGGCTGTGAACTAGTGATCTTCCTGCCTCAGCCTCCTGAGTATTGAGATTGCAGGTTTGCACCACCATATCCAGTCTGACACACAGTTTTCTAGCATAGCATCTGCTCATCCCCCAATCCAGGGGACTTTGGGTCACATCGAGACATTTTGGTTGTCACAGCTGGGAGAGGCAAGGTGCTATTGGCATCTAGTGGGTGGAGTTCGGGGATGCGGACAAACACCCCACAAGGTACAGGGTGGCCCAGCAGAGTGATGTAGCCCCACTCCATGGTCAGTGGTCACGAACTTGCTTTGTGCTGTGCAAATCACAGTTTGTGTCGGGCCATTGTAAGTGCTTCCTTAGCTCCCTCTATGGCACCCAGTTCTCATGGTAGCTTTGAGGAGGGAGCTTTGTCCTGCCTGAGGAGACCAGCGCTCAGGGAACATAAGGGACCTGCCAGGAGGACAGAGCCAGGAGCAGCCAGGCTGGATCCGCACCCTGGGCGGGAAGAGTCTGCCCCGCCGCTGCCCTGTTCTGCCCTCTAGCAGGGTCTCTCTGTCTGCAGCCTCCGCTGGTCCCCTTCTGTTCCTGTGCCCTCCTGCCTGTCCGCCGCACTCACAGGGTGCTTTATGCTATTACAACAGCTCTCGAGTTACTTTCGGCGCCGGGGCTGTCTTAGCACTTCGTGTGTGCGCACGGCCATTGCTTTCTCAGCCATCATGTGCACTGGGTTCCATTTTCCCCAGCCTGTAGAGAGGACCGAAGTCCAGAGGGTCTCACAGCCTGAGGCAGAATTGTCCTCAGAAACTCGCTGTTCGCCAGGTCAGGTGTTTCAGCTGTAAGACTTGAGATTCCTGGCCAGGCACTCACTCCCTAGTCCTCGTCCCAGACCCCTGGCTCCATGGCTCTGCTCTTGTCTTCCGACTGCCTGGGACACTTACTGTTCACCTGCCTGCCTGCAGGGGCCAGCGAGGACTGGACAGCGCCTCATTGTTTTCAGGGTCCAGGAACTCCTATTGATCCCTCAGAGCCCAAGTGAATGCTGCCTCCAGTATGTGCCCTCTGGGATGGCCTCTGTCCAGACAAACTCCATCTCTTTGCCTTCCCGGGACAATGACGTCCGAGCTGCTCTTCATCCTGCTTTCCCTCGAGTTACAGTGACCACTCCTGGGAGCCCAGGAGCCCAGTCTCTCCTCACTGATGGCTTTCGAGGCGCACGATGGGGAGAAAGGACAGAGGACCTTGGCAAAGCCGGGGGCCCCGGTCTCCATGTTTCCCTCCCTCCCCTGACCCGCAGCTGTTCCTTCTAGACCGTGCCCGTTTTCTGGGGCGCAGAGGTGGACCCCGAGGCTCTAGGGGAGGCGGTGCCGGCTGAGACCCCAGGCCATGGGGGGCCCCTGCTGCAGGAACCGGGCGTGCTGGGAGCGCTGGGCCTGCTCCCCCTCTCCCCTAGACACCGGCACGCGGGCCTCGGAGCAGCCCCAGCCCTGCGTGTGGTGACTTGTACCAGGAAGCTCGTCCTGGCCGGGGGCTGAGTCACCCACAGCCTGTGTGTTGATCTTGGCCCCACTCGGGCTTGTCTGGGAGGCGGTGCAGGTGAGCACACGCGCGTGTGTGCGGGCGTAGGCGTGTCCGCACTGACTGCACCGGGGCTCAAGCCGGAGGACCCTTTTAGAATGTTAGGGTCAGCTGTGCAGGGGCCTCACCCCTGCCCGACAAAGCAGGTCTCAGCTGTCTCTGTCTCAAAGATGAGGAAACTGAGGGGCCCAAGGGTCAAATTGCTCCCCACTCAGTAAATGGGGGAGTTGAGGTTCGAACCTGTGACTTCAAGGATGGCTGCTCTGTTCCCTGGTGGCCAGTTTGTGACCAGTCTGACCACGGGGCCTGCTGCTGGGGAGGCGCAGGTCCACGTGGACGCCCTGGAGGTTCTGTTTCTTCCGTCCAGATTCCCCCGAAGCCAGGGTTTCATTCAGCCCCAGGGTCTGCTCCGGAGGACGTGTCCTCCTGGCAGGGCCACCGTCACCTGCCCCGCTGCTGCTGAGGTACCGCGAGCGGAGCAGGGGTGGCAGGGCTCAGAGAGCCTCGATTCTGCCCTCCCCTGCAGCCCACCCCCAGGGCGGTTCCAGGTGCAAACAGAGAGGATTCTGGGTCTAGCTGCCACTGAGGCAGACTGGTCTTTTCCAGCTGCCCAGCTCCTCCCCGCTGCCCTGCAGGTCCCTTGCAGTGGGGAGGACTCCATGGCCATGCTGGGCGTCCTCACTTGGGGTGTGCGTCACACCGCTTTCCTAGAGTCTGGTGCCCCAGAGAGAGGGGCCCCCGTGCTCCCTATGTCCCTCCCAGAGCCCAGGAGGGAGAGGCCTCGGCCAACACCCCTGGTGTTGTGGCGGGGCCTTTGGGGTGTGTTTCCTACCGGCCTGGCTTGCTCCACCTGGGACCGGGCAGTGGGGAGAAGGAGGAGGAGGAAGCCGGGCCTTGTGTTTTCTAAGTGTGGCCAGCCCGTTTCACAGGTGGCCTCCTTTTCCTCCTCCTCTCCTCTCTCTGCTTTGCAGTTGACTGAGAGGCCAAGAGGGCGGGGCAGGCGGGGTGGTCCCCCCCACCCCAGCACAACGGTCCCCACCCTTGGCCGTGTGGCTTGGGACAAAGACGTGTTCGGTCCACAGGCTGAGCCAGCCCGGCCCTTTGGGCGCAGGGCGCAGGTGCGGAGCCCGCTTCCACGCTGCACAGACGCGTTCTCCCAGTGCGCGAGTCTGCGTGTCCGTGCTGGGCCACATGGAAGGCGTGCTTTGGGTTACACTCTTGTGACTGATTCTTTCAGTGTTGTGAGCTCTTTTTTTTTTTTTTTTTTGGTTTTTCTCCGGTACTGGGAACCGAACTCACGACCTTGCGCGTGCCAGGCAGGCGCTTTTGCCGCTGAGCTAAATCCCCAGCCCCAGGTGTTGTGAGCTTTTAACTAAGAGCGGCGCCTCTCTTGTGCTGCCGTGGGTCCCCATCGGTGAGATTGCTGAATGGCGTGACTGTGGGCCAGTCCCTTCATCTCCGTAAGCCTCAGAGAGCTTAACTGCCAGGTGGTGACGTGGGCAAGATCCCAAGGGGCCTTTGAGTGCTAGAAAATCCCTTCCGATTCCACGCGAGACATAGAGCCTGATGTAAAGCAGTGGGACCAAAAGGAAGAGAGGAAAACGGCAGAACTCTCAGAAGAAGGTTCCAGCGTGGGGCTCGAGGCCACTGAGGGTGTGAAAAGCCAGCTTCGAGTTAGGAGCCAAGTGGCCGAGACAGACTTAGCCCTCAGTGCTCGGCGGTAGGAGTTGGCCGGGAGTCAGAAGGTTCTGGCCGCAGGGCCTGTGTGGGGGCGGGATCAGCGGGAGACGGGTTGGGGTGGACAGGGCTGGACTGCAGGGCCTGAGGCCTCGCAGAGGAGTGAACACTGCGAAGGGCACCCGGGAGCCACAGGAAGGGCGGTGGCTGGAGGGTGAGCGGGTCACATTTGCTTAGCGAGGTGAATCACTGAGCTCGGGTGGCGTTCAGGGTCAGGGCCGTCTTGTCGAGACTTGAGTGGGGTGCTGAGCAGGGCACAGGTCGTCCTCCAAGCCGAGGCATTCGGTCCTTAGAAGTCTGCTCCCTGGGAAATGTCCCCTACTGGGCCCTGCGCTCCTGGGATCCTCAGGGCCCTTGGGGTCCCGGGCCCTTGTCCAGTCAGAGGGAGCAGAGGTGTCTGGTGGGTCTCAGGGCTCCTGGTAAGAGCTCACCCCCGGCCCGTCTGAGGAGACGCTGCCCCTGCGGTCCCATCTGGAGAGGTTCCAGGCCCGTGCGGAAGGGAAAGAGTGAGCCAGGACTGAGTCAGGCGGCCTCAGGCCTTGGAACTGCCCCGGGGGCCACAGCAGGTGCCCTTGGCCCGGCCCAGAGGCGTGGGGCAGCCTCGATAATTTGTTGTAAACCGCTGTTTATTTTCCACCGAGCCAAAACATCTTGTTCACGAGGTGTCATTTTGATTAATTTTTCTGACAGAGAGGAATGCGGTGCTTTCCAAGGAAGGCTCTTTGGCTAATAGCAAGGCCACCCGGGGCCAGCTGGTGCGGTCTCCTGCACGGAGCAGGCTGCCGGGTGATGGCGGCCTGGCCTAGACCTGGGCCTGCCCAGCTCACCTGTCAGGCCCAACCTCTGGCAGGGAACGGTGGCTCAGGCCTGCCCAGAAGGAAAGAGCTCAGGGAGAGAGGTGGCTTTGCCTACAGCAGAGTGGGGGCCTGGCCTCAAACCCACAGACGTGCTCTGCCGTGTGGTGACAGGAGTCGG